GTTGTCAGAGCTCTTCAATATTCATAAAAATTATGTTTATACTAAATTTGCTGTGACTATAGTTGAATTTTGAATATAAGTTCGATTGTACTATTCAGCCGAATCAGAAAAAAAAAAACAATATTGAATCATTCATGTTAAGTGACAGTAGACTTTTCTGATTCTATGTAACCGTTGATGCTGATGATGCCAACTTGTTTACCAAATGCACGTGTCTCTATTCGCGTGTGGAAGCAGTGTTATCTTCAGATAAATGTATTTTTGGCTTCTTCAAGTGTAGAAAATTTTCACTACGCATTTTTTCAATCGAAATACACTTCAATCTTCATTCAAAACTCACTTTCTGTATCTGGAATACCTTTGAGACTTGTAGCCTTCATCCAGAAAATAAAACTGCTTAATATCTCCCAATGTCCTAGATCTTCATAAAATATTATAGAAAAATTGATTTTTTATTTTTATGTGATTGCTAGCTGTAAAACTCACCATCATACCAGTTATCAAATTGACTTCCGAATCATGTCCCAAACAAAAGTGTAAAATGGATTTTTCAGTGAATAGGAGCCGTTCCGTATATAGGTACTGCGGACATAAAGATTTCCCCCGTAACTTTTGAATGTGAGTAAATATCAACATCTCCTGATCAGTCTCCTGATTATAAACTCATTGATTCTTTTTTGAGAATCAGATCAGCAGTCTGTGAGTAATCAGCAGTTGTTTATATTTTTCAGTCGCAAACAAATGATATACGCGTGTAGGTTCGAATTTGAAGCCATTTTCAAGCAAGTATGACTACACTGAGGTCTGAATCTGTCTACCCCTCAGATAATGACACGCTTTAATGGTTTTGTGACTTGACACTGAGGTCTCAATCCGCCTATTCCCCAGGTCTCGAATCAATTGACGCTTGGGACCAGCCAGAGTGAGACTATTTTGGAGACAAGTGACGAGACCTGGGTATAGGTAGATTGAGACCCCGGTGTCAAGTCACAAAACTTCAGAAGCGTGACACTACCTGATGGGTTGGCAGATTAGCACCTCATTGTGGTCATATCTTCTTGAAAATGGTTTCGTAGTCTGAAAACACCACACACCGTTTGAGACGGCTTGTGTGTATGTTAAGTTGCTTTTCCAGTTGTTCATCCGTTGATTATTCTTGCAAGGTTGTCGTTTTTGTCATCATCTCAGATGGAATATTATGCCAAAACTCCTAATCTATATTTTATGTTTTGACCCAAAATGTCAGTGATTAACATATTTGGTGGAAGTTGTATAATTATTATCATTACTAGTGTTACTTCTTCAATATGATGAGGGGAATATATTGAGGGCAAGTTGATTTTCAATTGGAAATCCTTCAAATCTTCCCATATATATTCATTGATGCTTCATTTTTGTTTGAGGCTACACCAACACATGAACAAATGTGAAGGTGATTCGTCATGAATGAGTTAACATTTCACTTGACTCAATAAAACTGAAAAGTATTTCCATTTCCCAACTCTTCGGAAAGTTTTTTTTCCACAAAACAACTTCAGTCTTTAAAAAACTAACGAATGAGACAGAAACCAAAAGAATTATTTCCCGCTGAAAACAGAAGGAAATTCAAATGGGACGGAAGAAATTTACAAGATCGTTGCTGTCCAACCAACTTCAGTTCATGATAAATGTTCCGACCGGAGTTTGTAGGTACGATCCGGAATTTGTAAAAGCGAACAGTCATCGCCTGCCAATCAATAACAGAATGTGAACACTGTAGTTGTTATCTAAATGACGTTAAGTTGTTAAACTGAACGATTGACTAAATTACAACAGTTCTATAACATGTCAGTTGGAACTTACTACTGACAGGGAAGGAAGGAGCAATACTGAAAAAATGTAAAGTGGGTGTTGGCCCATTGCAACTACTGTTATACAGCAAAATTCCTGTTTTCATTTGATTCGTGGTACGAGAAGGAGAGACCAAATATTTTACAAATCAAAAAATGAGCTGGCTGCATTAAAAACGTTCTGTTTTCTATGACTGTGGCGCATAAATCAGGCTGAATCCGACTGATGTCATGGATTAAGTTTGCTTCGAGGACAACTGTAGTTTGTGGCTCATTCGCATACACCTGCGTTTTGAGAAAACGTCACAAAAAAAGTCTAACGGGCTCAAATCGCATGATTTCGATGGCCAGTTCACATCACCTACATGTGAGATAACCATGCCCTCAATTGGCTCGTGTACAAGTCATTAGTTTCCAGATCATTCAATTTAGGCCAAAAAATATTGGTTATCATCAACCTATAGTGCCCGCCTCTGACAGTGATGGCATGGCCAAAGTCGTTCTCAAAACAATATGCACCTATGATGCCGCCAGCTCAAAATCCACACTAAACAGTGACATTTTCGGGATATACTGGTCGCTTAAGGATCTCATGTGGATGGGTATCGTTCCAAATTCCGCAATTTTGTTTGTTCGCATATGGGCCGCATTGCGGCAGCTGATTTTTTTTAAGAAAATCATGGTCAGTTACCGACTGCTCCAGAGCCCATTTAGCGAACACACGTCGTTGTATATGGTTGTACGGATGCAGGCCCAAGTCACGACGTAAAATTCGTCAATTTCTGGTCTGCGAAAGACCGAGTTCTGCTGAGTGGCGCGAAATCAACTGCCCCGTATTCTCCTGTACACTCTCACAGACAGCGACGATGTTATCGGCAAATCTTTCGTTATGTCGACGTAAGGGCATTGGCCGATCATTTACTGAACCAGTGGACTCAATTCATCCAGAACATTGCAAATAGTCCTCTCGGTAGGACTATTATGGCGTATATAATCGTCGCAGGTTACATTCGAATTGCTTTTTTATAAAACCCTTTGAACGAAAAAATCCGGAAATTCGGAAAATTACATTCAGAACTGACTTTCGCAATATGGTTCTGAGGTGAAAAATATGATTGTTATCCCTCCACACAAAAAGTACTGAGTACTGTTTCTCCTACGAAATTGCGTCTGTATGATTATATCAAATTTTGTTTTATCTCTTATGTTTTCAATAAAATAATCAAAGGAAAATGCTACTCTCAAGGCAGTAACAGTCGCTTTTTGAAATGTTTCTCGTTCATTTTCGATAGTTTTTGGGTCTATAATCTCTGGAAACTTCTTTTTTATTTTATTATTCGAGAGGATATCTTCTTGTATTTTTATCACTCATTCACCTATTTTTTCTGTCTTGCAAGAAAAGTCTGGAAGAATCGTTCAACAGATCTATTTTCAACCTAATCACCTTCACATCCACTTAAATCTTCAAAAAGTCATTGATTTTCCACTCCAACAATTCCTAATTCATAAAACTGTACACGGCAGATATCATAAAAAATCCTCTTCATATTCCACAGGGAAAACATCGTGAAATTAATGAATATTAATTGGAATGTCTTCAATTTATGAGAATATTCCAAAATTAGAAGACGGTTGTTAGTGGTTTCACCAGATATTCCCGTTGAAAATATAATTCTTCGAAAGACATTGATAGAATGCACCAAAATTGGGTTACGCGACGACAACGAGATGATGAACGAGTCGGCCTGAAATTTGACAGTAATTCCAAGAAAACAATCTCTTGTTTGTCGGGAAGCTTATAACTTTAACAGGTATTAATGGGTATAACGAGTTTGTTCTTGAATCTGTTGCGGCAATTCCCATTTTATAATCTATATTTTTTCATCATAAAAAAGTATAACTATTTTTTGAGGCCTTTAAACGTGTGTGGCATGAGGGTTTGCTGGTCAAACTTCGATGCTTTAGCTACTTGAAACAACGTTTCCTGCAAATGGCCGTCCAATGATATCTCTCGAATATTTTACCATCAACGCTGGTGTTCCCCTGGGATCCATATTGTCTCCAACTCTATAGTATATCAACAATTTATTGAAAAAAACCAAGATCCAATACATTGCTTTACTGACGACAGCACACTTGTCTAATAATTCCATTTGGATTCCAAGACATTGGCTACAGATGTACATCTTCACGGACAGCAGGAGGTTGCATATCTTAATGGGGATCTAGAAGTGATTTCGAATTCGGGTGAAAGTAACCAGGTTCAATTCAATGCCACAAAAACCTAGGCATCGGTTTTCTCCACAAAGAGAAATGTCTTTGAACCGGATATAATAATGTCTGGACCGACAATTCCGCTTACTGCTTCGATAAGTTTATTAGTGGTCAAAATGGACACCAATTCGTCATAGCATAATCATGTCGCTGGAATTGCTAAGGCTGATTCTCAAAAGCTTGGAACACTGTTCCGAACCAGAAAAATGTACACCCCTCAGCAACTTTTGATACTTTATAGACTCGTCAACATATGGGCTCAAAACCAAATGGTCTCAGCAACTGAGCATCTCAGCGATTGAGGGGTGTTCAGCAAAACGATGATCCATCAAAATCTGCTGCCTTTTCGCATTGAAAAAAAATGGAAACTTGGGAACCAGGAAGCTCCAAAAGTACGTACCAAAACAAAGACCCTGTGAAATAGGTACATTTTATTACTCATTTCATATTTATTATTTTGCATGAACGGAAGGAATTTGAAATTGTCATTCCGATATAGAACGGTTTTTTATAAACAGTTTTTTTTACATACCTCTTGACTCTAGAGGGATTTCAAACCACGATAGGTCTTCAAACAAATAAACGAATGGAATATTGCCTGTACTTGATAGACATATCATCAAACACCAAAAATAGAGCAGATTAATATGAGGTCTGATCCTCTCAACAGATACTGCACGACTTTTCATTTTTCCACAATCTCATAAAAATGGCAATTTTCAAAACTGTTTTTGTTGAACAAGAAACTAACTTGAACTCTAAAACCTTCGGCTTTAGTTGAAACTTTGCCCAACGTACAGAAGTGTAATATCCATCTCTCTTCAATACATGTCAGAATGAGTACAGAATAAGTACAAGGTTATAAACAATTGAAGGTCACACCATGAACATTGGATGAACGGGATTGGAGGATTTCATACTGACGCAAGAGCAGAGGACGGTATAGAAATGTTAACTAGATTGGGTCAACCTTGAAGGTAAATAACCTGTGACTCGAATGTAAACAATGAACACCACTCCGGAAAGATTACTTGAGATTCAGTAAGATCATGAACATCAAATGTTACGATTATCACAACAATACAAAGAAATAAACAATTATATACATGGTATAATACATCAGGTGAGTGAGATAGTATAGCACTAAACAAATTCATCAAATGAAGGTAATTACGATTAAATTCTAAAACTATTTCTTTTCATTACAGAAAATGGTTTAGACTCTGCATATGAGATACAGAAAGCTAAATTTATGTGTACTTCCAGGAGACAGCAGGTAAGCTCTAGAATATCATTCAATTGAAGAATTGATAAATGAATTTCGATCTTATTTTAGGTTATCACAACACTGTACTACTACTAGGAAGTAGATTCATCAAGGGAAACATAGTGATACTGTATCAATTCACAAATAAAGCTATAACTTTTATTTTGTTGAATTTTATCTCATGGTATTGAATAGTTCACATGTCATGAGAAGAAAACAAATAGCATCTCATTATTATGGTATTTTAAATTCAAATGCTACACCCTGAAGGTGCTAGATTCAATTCAGGAAACAGCCATCAGCCTTACTGAAAACACGAACATCACTTGCAATCTTGATAGTCTGGAACATCGTGAAAAAGTGGGAGATTTGTCTCTCTTCTATAGATTCTTCCACAGGAAGTGTTCAAGTGACTTGGCACATGTGATTATACCAAGAGCGGTACATATCTGAAATACGCGACGGACTGTAGCTGCTCATCGTTTAGAGGTTCAACTTACTACACCTCGAACTTAACTGTTTGAAAATTGCCTGATGCAAGATGTAAATCGAAATCTTCAACTGGACTGAAATGCATAAAGTGTGACAGTGTTTGCCACTCAAGTTGCGCAAGATATAGTGCGAAAGTGAAAGTTTCAGAGAATGAAACTTATGCTATTTGTTGCAGTAACAAAGATAACGTTGAGAGTGATAACGAATTCTTTGAAGTCATGGATGTCGTGAGTAATATCAGTAAACAAACTCGAAATTGTGATATTCTTATACATTATAAAACAAAAAAACTTATTGATTCGCGAGTCGTATGATAAGAGCGAAATTTCAACAAATCAATTGGAATCTCTCAATAAAAACAATCCAACGAATTCGGAGCTGATACTATCTTCTCAAAAAAGATTGACGAATGAAAAAGATAATTTGGACCAGAAAAAAACGATACTGAACAAACCGAATAAAGAAACAGCACCAAAGATTGGCACACTAGATGGGGATGGAAAAAGTGGGAATTCCCAAATAAACGTAAATATTGTATCAGCTGAGCTCTTGAGAACTGAAACCCAATGTCCACGGAGAAAGTTCATAGTTGGAAACAATCAGGATACTGAAGTCAAGGGCGTTCCCAAATTCGTAAATCTGCATGTTTCCCGAATAAATAAAGCTACCAGTGCTACCGATCTCCATACATTTTTACTATCTCCAGCAATTCAAAACCAACATAGATCGCTACTTTCTTACAGGCACCGCTTTTAAATCGCCTTGAGAATTTCCCTCTAGTACTTCTCTCCTTTAAAAAAGGTGCGGCAGTGGCAGTGGGTACTATATCTATATACTGGTAATGCATGCAATTCATTAACTTCACCCAATGTTTGGGATAGTCCACACAATTAAATTAGCAGGAATGAAGTGGTTGATTGTAAAAATAATTTGCAAGGATTTCAGAAAATTGTTCTTCAGAGTATTTGTCATGCAATTCAAATTGTCTGTCGAGGAACCATAAAAAAGTTGAACGAATCAATTGTGTTCGTGCAATGAAATTGTATTATTCAAGGAGATCATAGAGAATATTATGTTGTTATCAGAAAGGAAAATCCAAAGATCGACTGACAAGAAGCTGTTTAGAAAATGTTGCAAACAATAATGACAGTGTGTATCAGATGGAAATCAGACGAAAGTTCTCCAAAATCCAGAGGTAAAAATTTACATGAAATAAGTGATATCAATGTGCTTCTCATAGCGAAATCAAACTCACCAAGTGTGATAAAGAACACATTAAGCTAAGTGTATTGTATTCGTTTGAAAATATCCGCATAAAATGAAACTGCAGTTACAGTAGTTACAAATACAAGTGGTATAAAAACATAAGAAGTCTTATTTGTCAATTTTCATTATGATCTACGTAGTACCACCTACTTCCATTAATTTATAGAAAAAGTGAGAGAGAGAGAGAGATAGAGAGAGGGTATGTGTTTATTATCAAAGATACATGACCTCATTGACAAACACTGGTAAAAATAGAACATGCGAATAACTACATCCAGATAAATATACTATTACATAATTACATGAAAAAAAATACATACAAATAATCACATCTAGGTAAAAGTACACACATATTATTACATATAAACACCGTCGATTTCCCTGTCATAGAAACTCAACATTTTCTTTTGTTTTTCTCATTGAGGTGAATTGACAGTAAACAGCAAAAATTAAGGGATTTAAACTGAGTATTGACTTCCTGGCAATGATTTAGATACTTCCTTGAACCTTTCCTTCCATTATTGAAATTGTTTATTTCACAATTCACTATTATAATGAAAATTTTAATTGACGATGATGGTGACTGAAAATTATCGGATAAATTTCTCTTCGAAATATTCTCTGTGATGACTTTCTAAATATCGCATTCCAAAAAGAAGAATGTTAAATGACAGATTATCTTTCAATGTGGGAATGAAGGAAAATAATGGATTTGAATATCAGTGATTTTCATGGAAGAATGCATACCAAACGTTAACTAACCGTAGGTGTATCTATTTGCTATTTATATAAGAAATTATATACTCAATCACTGACGCGACGGTCTGCAACATGAACTATCTAATTATTACAGGTTAGCAGACAGGGTTGAACAGTAATGAAGCTGGATACTCAGACAGTTTCTAGTGCTGTGAAAGCAGGACGGTTATTACTTTCTTCCCTTAGTTTGACAACACCGTTTGAGCGCGCAATCTAGACGCCTCTTATGGTATATAGTTGAATCTCTTGGTGGAATCACTTGTGCCAAGTCATCTTGAATATTTTCGTGAAATTTTCTATAAAAGAGAGACAAATATTCAACCTGTCTTCGATATTCCAGACTATCAAGGTTGCAAGTGATGTTTGTATCTCCAATAAGGCGAATGGCTCTTTTCTGACTGGAATCCAGCAGCATCAGGGTATTGAACTCCATGCAGTAGAACAAAACTCCAAGGAAAGTATGATGTGAGCTTTGTAAAGCATCAACAGTTTCTAAGGTGTGTACAGTTTTCTGGTTCGGAACAGTTTTCCAAGCTTTTGAGAAGCAGCCTTCGCACTTTTAGCGGCATGATCGTAGCAAGGCTTATTGGTGTCCATTATAACCCTCAACAAACCTATCGAAGCAGAAAGCAGAAATGTTTGTCCTGACATTATTGTCTTCGGTTCGGAGACATATATCATCTTGGAAAAAATCGATGTCTGGGTTTTCGTAGCCTTGAATTGAACATGGTTATTTTCACCCCAATTCGGAATCACCTCTAGATCCTGAAAATTGTCTGAATATGACAAAATTTTCACAAACCGTTTCTTGACTCCAATGAATACTGTTTCTCAAAAAACTGGAATATCTTTCCTGTGTCATTATTTTCAACGCGATGAAAAACTTAACAAGTGAATAATATGTACACATTGGAACAAAAATGAAAATTAATGAACTTATGCTAACCTTACCGTACAAAAACGGTTCTCGATCAATACCTATTGTGCTAGACCAGAGCAAAATTCATTTCCGATGATTATGAAAAAATGACGTCTATAACAAATCACCCCACAAATAAGTTAGTTTCAACAAAAAGCTATTATGTAAATAGGTGGTGTTTGAGACGTTTATCCTCGTGAGTCGCGACCTATTTCAAAAATGACCATCAATCATTTCTGATTTTGTTTGGTCTCTCTACAGGATTATACAGGAATAACTTCCAATTACGGAGGTATCAAAACTCTCAAGACAAGTTTTCTTCATCATTGGATCCAAATAACAAAACCGCTTTATAATAATTCAGAATGTAAAAAATTGACACCTGAAGTTAGTATAATTCGAAGTGTATTATTATAATATTATCCAGATTTGGTACTATACGTCTGAGAAGGCAAGTGTCTAACGTCGAAACATCGGATGTCTACCAGTGAGGATGACAGTGTTCCACGTGGGTGAAATTTCACCTCTCTCATTTACATTCTGTAGAAATCCTGGTAATAATATCCGATTTGATTCCATGACGAATGCCACGGCACACTCACCATTGTTAATGTTTCCATACATGCTATGTGGTTACATCCTAAATGGTTGCTTTATTCATTTGCAAACAAATTGCTTCTCAGTTCTACGATAGAAAAAAACTTTTCGAGTCACTTTTCCACAAATTTTCCCATTAACTTCGCTAAACTGATTATGGGCGAATGATATCAGAACTCATTTGAATGATGTTATGAAATCCCGAATATTTGTAATACATTAGTGAAGTTGTCACCAAAAGGCCTAACTTTTACAGGGTGATTCATTTTTCCTTTCCTTTTTTGTATATGTCTGTGCATCTATATGTTTATAGGTATATTCGTGTGCATATGTATATGAGTATATGTATGTAGATAAATTTGTTATATATGTCCTATAACCGAAATTTGTCTACTAAAAGTACAATATATTTCACCTGACCTTGACCCAAGTAAACCAGATTGTGACACAGTTGTGATACAGTATGTATATATGCGTGTATGTATATGTGTATATAAGCGGATATATTTGTATATATTGATGGAATGAAATTATCAAAATGTCAGCATATATTCATGTTAATGTTTGTGAATGAATGTAGATTTATTCACATTTGTACATTTTATGTGAAAAGTTTTTTTTCTGTGAATGAACATTATTATTATGTTATTATTATCGAAATGAGCGTCATACGAATCAGTGACCTTTTGTCAACATGTACATAGGTCGACTAATTTCGTCAGCTTGAAAATTGGTTGCTTGGATGCTTTGAAGTAGACCAAGGCCGTTTTTGCCTGGTCCTGATTCGCGAGGGTTTGATCTGTGAGAAGTACTTGAAAATATGGTAGTCTAATTACCAACTGATTTTACTTTTTAGAAGAATGGTGGATAAAATGGAGAATCTGGAATAGCCCATTCATTCAGCCTAAGTGAAGAACAAAAGTACCTTTATTTATTCTCCAACTACCGATTGATTTTTCTCGCTGTTTTTTGAAGAATTGTGGATAAAATGGAGAATGTGGAAAAGCTTATTCATACAGCCGAAATGAAGAACAACAATACCATAATTTTTTCTGTAAT